AGCCAGGGGAATGGAAGTAACTTCCCCACCAAGACGTGACTGGGGGCAGATCCCCCAAGCTACAGCACCTGCGTGGAAGCTCGGAGAAGATTGGCTCCAGGGCATGGGGCCACACCTGCCCAGACTCAAGATGGCAGCCCAGTAAAGCTGGAAGGATATGAATTCTGGCATGTGAAGCCGAGTGTGGGAGGAGTCGGAAATGAGGCTGCAGAGGAAGATTGGCAGCGGGGATTTAAAACCCAGACTTGGCGGCCATTGAGAGGGGAGAGAACCATGCGGCTTTAACAGAATGGGGAGGACCTCAGCCATGGAGAAAGAACCATGCTGCTTTAGGAAGGAGAGCCATGCGCAACCCTGAGAAGGAGAGTCATGCGCAGCCCTGAGGGGAGAACTGTGCTGCTTTAGGAGAGGGAACCACGCGGCCTTGACAGAGTGGAGACTCCCGCAGCCCTGAGAGGGAGAACCACGAGGCCTAGACAGAGCGGGGACCCCCACAGCTTTAGAAGGGGAACCACCACCTGGTTTTAGCAGAGATCCCGGCGACTCAGCTGAGGGTGCTGGGAACCCAGGGAGGTCTCCCAGTCGAGATGGAGTATTAACTGGGAAGAACCAGAGGACTGCCTGAGCCATGGACTTCTATTTCCTTTCCTGAGATACGGTACTCTGGACTGGGCAAAGGGGGGAAGGAAGGAAGGACTGTGTCTGTTTGTGGGTGTTTTAAGGGACTTTAGGATTTTTGATGAAGACATTAGGTCACTACTTGAAGTTTGTATAGCATTAAATAAACATTTCCTTTCCTTTTCACAAATCTCTGGCATTGAGAGACGTCTTTCCTAGGGCGGCGGACATAACGGACCTGGGGCCTTCTTTCAATAATAGTATATTGTCCCAGGCCCCCCTTGTCTGTTCTGTTACAAGAGCACATACCTAGGTTTTGGGTTCAATCCCCAGTCCAGGCCACATACGGGAGACAACCAATCAGTGTTTCTCTCCACATTGATGTTTCTCTCTCTCTCTCTTCCTCTCTCCCTTTTTCTCTTTTTCTAATAGCAATGAAAAAAAAATGTCCTTGGGTGAGGATAAAAAAAAATGTTCAAGAAGGAATGAGAGGGCTTTATGTACTACTTTTATTTTTCATGCTTATTTCTTTACATTTTAGCAGGTCATCCCAAGAGCTGGCTATAATGAATTAAATTAGAAATAAATGTCAAATATTTTTTGGCAGCTCCAACATCTAGAAACAATGAAAAGAAAAGGTTGATATTTCTTTAAAGAGGTCTAAAGCATTTAGTTTATTCCCTAGTGGCAAAACAGCTGGTTTTTACATTCTAGTAACTAAAAGAAAATTGTGTTTCCATCTTCATAAACACTTTGCCTAAGCCACACCCTCTTATTATGAAATCCAAGTTTAAAATTTCCTCTTTATTCCATTTGTGTCTAGATCTAGCCTCAAAAGGAAACTATCTTCAAAATGCGTACTTTCTAAGGGTAAAAGGTTTGTAGTAGTTGTAAATTGAAAACTGTCTATAATTTCAGAAGTAATAGTATTAAATTTATTTGTGAAGAAAAAGCATTTCTTTTCTAAAACAATGATGAATATTCATAATTCTAGTTTTATATTGTGCCTTTACAGGCAGATTAAGTGCTAATTAAGGCTCTTGTATTGTTCTGTTTGATAGTGTCAGTTGATTTTCAGTACTGTTTGGTTTATAACTACAAATTGCTGAAATGCCAAAATTCTTAAAATATTAGGAAGGGTTTTTATGTTTTATTTTGTTTTAATTACTTCTATTTTAAACTTGAAGAAAGGAAAAAGATTTTGGTTGAGTTTTTTCTAATTCTTATCAATAGTTTGAGTGCATATTACATTTTTAAATGTTTGTTTATTTGATTTTAGAGTCCTAGATTTAAAAAAACTGAAACCTTTACTCTTCTAAAATAAGGATATTTGTGTTTCTGCTTATAAAATGTGTGTGTGTATGAGTGAAAGAGAGAGAGTTAGATTGATTTTGAATCACAAACCATGTATCCTTACTCCTGTAGGCTGGACTAGAGGCATACCTCATTGTATTGCATTTCACTTTATTGCACTTCACAGTTGTAGGTAATTTTTTTTTTCAAATTGAAGATAAGATCCTCCACCATCAAAAAGATTACAATTCTCTTTATTGCGGTGGTCTAGAACTGAACCCACAGTATCTTGAGGTTTGGCTGTATTAAGCAATTGTCAATAGATCGATCATTCAGAAGTCAGGAAGTTTGCAGTTTACTGTCTTAGTCTTCCCTCACCTTACCAAAATCATATTTTTCTGTCTTCTGACTTATTTTAGACTTATTCATAGGACCACATGGAAATTAATTTTAATGATATGTGTGTCAGGTCTCCCAAGACCGCTCCCAGGTTTGGTGACTTACTAGGAGGACTTATAGGACTCAGCATATAATTGTACTCATAGCTGTTATTTATTACAGCAAAAGGATGCAAAGCAAAATCAGCAAGGGGAAAAGGCACTTGGGGAGACGTCCAGAGGAAACCAGACCCAGGCTTCCAAGAGTCCTTTCCTCGTAGGGTCACACAGGATGTGCTTAATTCCTCCCACAATAAATTGTGACAGTGCATGTGAAATGTTGTCTACTAGGGAAGCTCATTAGGTCCTCTGTGCGCAGCATTTCTACTGCAGGATCACGTAGGTACCCTCTACATAGCATATACTAAAATTCCATACTCCAAGAAGGAAAGCAGGTGTTTAGCTAAAACCATAATTTTTGCACAGTTTAGGCACAGTGAGCCATTCTTACCAGGTTGGTGGAAACATTCCTGAAATCCAAGTTCCCCCAGATGCCGGTCAAGGGCTAATCTTGCAAACAGGACATTTGAAGGATACCAGTCTCGGGCTTGCTATATTAACTTGTTTCTGAACAATATGCTTTAAACAGGAAAAAATATTAAGGAAGTTTTTATTTTTATTTAGATATGTATTCATTCAATTCTGCCATTCCAATAATTTACACAAGCCATCTATGAAGGGAGAGACATTTTTGCCTTGAGACAGTTGTTTAATGCCCTTTCTCCTTTGTTGGTAGTATCTCATGGGTATAAGCCACTTTCTGGTTGTCCCAATGTATTGTCCAACTGTCAGAGCATTTGCTAACTAAATACTCCTGCGGTGATACTTTGATCATATTACTGTTGCGCGTGGGTCCCCGGCCAGCAGTGACCACAGAACGCTGTGGATGGCCTGACGAAAAACACGCGAGAAAAAACATGCACAGAGACAGACCAGTTTCTGTGGGGAAGTAGGAACGAAATGGCCACCCCCCCTAGTGGGGAGCGCGCCGATTTACCGTCCATACCTGCTTTTATTGGGCTCATTTTGCATAATAATTCAGGTAAAGTACAGTACTCATTAGGGGGAAGTAAGGAACCATAGAAAACAAGGAACCCTGCTGGTCTATTTTGAGTTGGGGTCAAAGAGCTGTAAGACTTCAAACTAACTTCCTCCTTGGACCCTTCTCATTCAACTGAGAGCATTCTGAACAAAGAAGGTTTCACAGTAATTTACATGTTCTTTCTTAGGCCTGATCACCCAGGGAATCCGCCCTTTTCAGCACAGAGCTGCACCACCCTGTCATTGTTTCAGGCTTAGCACGGGAACTAAGGCAACCAAGAGATAAGGAGATTTTCTCCCAGACAGTGAGAACTCGGGCTATGTCAAAGCCAAGGAGCGAGGGTCCATCACCCCCTTTTTCTGCAGCCCCCCAAGTCCTTTTGGGGGGCCTCCCAAAGTGATCGTGCCTGTCTTAGGTTGTTCCCCCCTTGGGGAATCTTACCCGTCTTTGGCTAACCGACCAAGCTTTTGGGTATTCAGTTATGAATAAAGCAGCAGAAGCAGCATTCCTGCCAGGGAGATAAGCTTTTGTCTCCTTGCTGGCTTACAGTTCCAAGGGCGTTCCCTTAGCCTTAGCCTAGGCGGGGGTTTCAGCTTCTGATACCAGTCAGGGCGGTTTCCAACATATTACTAAGAGTTTAAAGACCTCATTTTTTTCTTGGTAGTTTACTTGCCAACTTTTATTACTTTCATGCTACTCTAGTAGTTTTCTGGAAAAAATATGAGGATTGTAAACTTATCATTCATGTTTCTCTGGGGGAGTTACAACTTGTAAATAAAATCTTTATAGTCCATATGCATAACTTCAAAACTACTTGAGCTATAATGCTGATATTTAACTTTGGATTTTGGAGACTGGGAAATGACTAACAACTGTGTTGTGAACACAGAATCCTAGAACTAGAAGAGTCCTTAGTAAGCTATCTAACTTCACTCCTGTCATTGGTGGGTGTGGAGCTAAACCAACCAAGGAAAATGGTGCAAAAGAACTCAAGCCGTGAGTGCTCTACATAGTTCTCAGAAGCCCAAGCTGGAATATAGTTAAGCTAACTATCCAAAAAGTTTTCCTAGATCACCCATTTTACTGGTGTTTTGTGGATTTAGAGAACAGTTTACAGTATCAGCTGCTATATCATTCTTTGGCCTTTTCTTTGCCAGATAGAACTATCTTCTTTCTTCAACCTTTTCTCAGACAAGTTGTAGCTATAATAATTTGACTTTAAAAACAATAAGAAGATATACCACTCTAGTCTAAGCGAGGCTTTCTTAATGTAAGAGAAGAAAAAATTACACATTTTTTTCACTAACCTCTGTCAGAAAGTTTGTATTTTCCTTCATTGCTATATCACAAAATTTTTAAACTTTTTGGATAACTATTTCAATGTAATTACTTCCTTTGTAAATATATGTATTTATGCACTTAGAAGCATTTTGAGGGGGGCTCTATAGGGTTCATTAAAGACTCATGACAAAAAAAAGAAAGATTACACTCTAATGAGAGCAGTTGGATAACCTTTAAATGAGAATTTTCAGGATTGTTTTTGTTTCCTTCTTTATTAAAGATAACTGTGACTAATAATATACTTCATTTAACATACTGTTGTGCTTTAGGTTTATGTACAGGTTAATAAAGAAGCAGCAGATGATAAGAGTGTAACAAAATCAGCACACGAGTTCTTCCAGCAATTGGAACTGGGTGACATGCAAGCACTTGGACTATGGCAAAAATTTCGGGATTTGAGTGTAGAAGAGTACATTCGGATTTACAAGGTATCTGCCTACTGTCCTACTTTCCTGTGATGTGGTGCAGCTCTTGACTAGTGCCACTAAGTAGCAAAGTTTCTCCTTAAGCTCATATTTTAAGAATAGATTTGACATTGGGTTGGAAATTAGGACTCACATATTGTTATTTGGGCTGAAAGTTAGAGCTCTGAAATAATCCTGAAGCCTGTGAACGGAACAGACTGAGTATCTGGTGACATTCTGATACTTTGTTTCAGTCTCGCTTTTCTTTTCTCTCTCATATTTTTCCTTCACTTTTTTTGTAATCATTTTTTCTTTGATTGCTGCCTTAGGCCTATAGGTGATGGGCATAAATTTATTCATTTAATAAAAATTTTATGTCATGGGAAAAAGATAACAATGAATAAAAAAGATAAGTTTTCTCATAGACTTTCATTCTAGCAAGGGGACAGAGTGAATTAAAGTTGGTACAAATTAAACAAGAACATATAGTTTGTTAGGTGGTGATGATGTTATAGAGAAAAATTAAACAGGGAAGAAGAGATCAGGTGTGCTGTCCGTGGGTGTAATGAGGAGAGTGTCAGTCAAGAAGCCCATGTGGGTGGAGTAGGTAAGCAGGATGAGGAACAGTAGGAGAGGAGGCTGCAGAGGTTGTAGGGTGGGATGTGAAGTAGGACCTTTTCCAGGGCTCTCCAGCCTAGTTTCGTGCGGTGATAGAAATGGTCTATGTCTGTGCTGTCCAATGTGGTAGCCACTAGCCTTGTGTGGCTACAGAGCACTTGAAGTATGAGTAATGGGATTGAGAAACTGAAGTTTTAATTTCATTTCATTTGAATTTAAATAGCTACATATGCCTAGAACTACTATATTAGACAGCGTAGTACTATTGCAGGGACTTGACTGGTATGGGAGGAGCCTCTAGAAGGTTAGAACAGAGGAGTGACTTGATCTAACACTTCTTTCCCCATCTGTGTGACAGATTGTAGAGCATCCTATTTTATCTTAGGGTAAGGTAATAACACATTTAAACAACTTTTTTTCCTGTTGTTTCTCAACCCTTTTAGCGTATAGGAGTACACTTTGATGAATACTCAGGAGAATCATTTTATCGTGAAAAATCTCAAGAAGTCTTAAAGATGCTGGACAGTAAAGGACTCCTACAGAAAACAATGTATGATCAGGTTACTATTCTGTAGTGATTTGTTCTTTTTTGAAATTGATATTGATATATTCTCTCAGTGAGAACAACAGAATGTGCTGTGTTGCCCTCTAGCATATTTTTAGTAGTGCTTTTTGCTGTTCAGAGTACATCCCCACATGTTATCTTTTGCTGCTGTAACAAAATTCTGGTAAAGTTGGGAGAAAGGATATTATCTGCTCTTTACACAGGAGCAAACTGAAGAGCAGAAAGTACACATGACCTTCCGGTCACACAAGCTGCTAATGGTATATGTGGAAAAAGAAAATAGAACTGACATGTTCTTATGAAAATAGGTGTAATACAACAAATTTCTGAAAGAGTAAAATGAAGAAATCAGGAGGTAGGGGCAGAAAATAATATGAAGTCAGGTGGTATTAGTACATCATATAGCACACACAGAGCTGTTTCCTTGCTTAAGGTAGATTTCTAATTTAGTTTTGAGCTTCCTGTCAACCAAACAAAAATAGCACCAGTCATAGGAGCTCAGGCATGTATAATGTAGAAGCAAACTAGTTGCTTAGAAATGCTGCTTTTCATAGTACCAAAGAGCCATTTCTCCTGTCATTTTCATAAGGAAGACATGGAAAATGTGTTTCATGACATCCTCAGCAATGTCCTCAAGGAAAATTTTTAGATTGCCATATACAGATTCTAATTTTTGATCAGGGAGTAAAGACAATAAGAAAATTCCATGGTTTTATTACTTTGTGACATGTTAAAACTAACCCAGTATTTAATATTATAATAACTGGAATTAGCAGAAAAATATGATGTTTCACGGTTGAACTGCTGAACTGAAAAAATGAATATGCTGTTTCACTTTTTTTCAATTAGGTATATTAAAGACATTTTTTTAAAGATAACATAATATTAATCATACTTGCTCTTATTAGGTCATGGTCAGATTCCATCCTATCTTTATTGTTGGTTATACCACTATTGCTACTTAAGTAATAAAAATAACTTCTGGTTTGTCAATGATAATGTTATAGATATTTACTTTTAATGTCTTACTTTATTATATTGCTTCAGAGTTACCTTTTTTCCCCATATCTAGAAAAGGATCAGCTGTAGTGGATCTTTCTGGGAATGGCAACCCCTCTGCAATTTGTACTGTAATGCGAAGCGATGGAACTTCTCTCTATGCAACCAGGTTTGTGTCGTATGTAAAGGTCAGCATTACAATGTGCATATGACTTCATGTTATTTGTTCTTGAATTAATGCTAAGAAAATTATCCTCAAATCTATTACCAAATGCTAGTTTCTAAATCTCTTTTTCTCATTAATCAAAATATATTTATTGGGTTTCTGTTTGTTGCCAGTTACAGTTCCTGGAAAGGTTTAATATTAGAAAAGTGACTGAAAACTATTTAGAATTAGTTAAACATTATAGGATTCCACAGCTGAATACATTGTTCTGCATGCTGTAAAACTGAAATACCTCGTAATCAACTACAAGTATTTTACAATTGCACATTGGCAGGGAATATACACTGGCAAGTGGCCATGTGCACTCAGTGATGTCCCCACTCTGTAAAGACTATCTCATGTGCACATATGTACCAGTCCTCATTCTGACTGTGGTGAAATAGGCCAAGGAAAAGTAGGCCCTATCGCTTATATTTTTAGTTCTGTCTCCACAGCTGACCCCTGTGGAAAGGGGCAGTCTCTGTTACTCAGTAAGGTGTGGGTTTGTCAAGCACACTTATTTTGAAGGCAAAGCTAATAGGAAGGAAAACACAGGACAATAAAAAAGCCATGCAAGCAAACATGGCCATACTCAAGCACTGCTGGCTAACAGCTCTCATGTCTCCCATGATTCAGGCCCCATTTTGAATGAGACAAGACAAATTCATACAGACTACCGAGTCCTGTGGAGGAAAAGGGATGGCACGGCCACTCTCTCAAGGGGAAAGTGCCCCGACCCTTGCCTTGACAAGCTTTTATTGCTTTTATGGGTACATTACATGATGGTCCTCATTTACTATGCACAGGTTTGCTTTAGGTGGTTAGCTTTTACAGAAAACAAAGGAAAGGATGCCACTAATTACTTCAAAGAGAAGGATGTTACAGACGAAGGGCAAAAGTGGTTGAACTGGTTATACTCTGTACTGGGGAGGTTTAGCACAGACTTTAGGAGTTACAGGAAACACTTAATGCCTCAATTCAGGGTGAGGGAGTTTTAGCGAAAAGCAATTCTCAAAGTGGCCTAGGTACAATGCAGGCCTGATTCCCCATGGGAGCTGTGGGTGTGGGTCCTGTCTGGGACCACAGAACGGTCTCCTATACTCCCAGGATATTTTTATATTATATCACAAACCATTTTTGTGGTATAGTTAAAGTAATGATATGTTGTTATAGTTTTTAACTACTATCATTTATTTCAAACAACTTTAAACAATAATCTGACTCCCATATTGTGCTTAGAAAATTCATCTACTTCCTATTATTTTTTGACATTTTTTTTATCAGTTCCATACAATTGGGGGTGGGAAGTAAAAAGAACCTATATACCTAAGAGGTACCTCTCTTTCTGGATACCAAAACTATAGAGTAGAAAGATTTTTATGCCAGCTAATTATTGCCGGAAAGATTATAAGAGAAACTCTTGAGCAGTTGTAAGAAATGTGTCTGCTCTATAGCTGTCCTGATCTGGTGTCTTTGTGGCTATTATTAGGTCTAGATTTTTCTGTGTAGAGTCATCCCTTGGTGTCTATGGGGGATTAGTTCCAGGATCCCCCCACAGATACCAAAATCCATATATGCTCCAGTCCTTTATATAATGTAGTATTTCCATATCAACTGCGCACATCCTCTCGTAAGCTTTAAATCATCCTTAGTTATTTTTAATATCTAATGCTATGTAAATAGGTGTTATACTATCCTGTTGGGGAACTATAACATGTTGCGTGGGTCCCCGGCCAGCAATGACCACAGAACGCTATGGATGGCTCGACGAAAAACACGCGAGAAAAAACGACACATGCACAGAGACAGACTAGTTTCTGTGGGGAAGTAGGAACGAAATGGCCACCCCCCCTAGTGGGGAGCGCGCCGATTTACCGTCCATACCTGCTTTTATTGGGCTCATTTTGCATAATAATTCAGGTAAAGTACAGTACTCATTAGGGGGAAGTAAGGAACCATAGAAAACAAGGAACCCTGCTGGTCTATTTTGAGTTGAGGTCAAAGAGCTGTAAGACTTTGAGGAACATACTAACTTCCTCCTTGGACCCTTCTCATTCAACTGAGAGCATTCTGAACAAAGAAGGTTTCACAGTAATTTACATATTCTTTCTTAGGCCTGATCACCCAGGGAATCCGCCCTTTTCAGCACAGAGCTGCACCACCCTGTCATTGTTTCAGGCTTAGCACGGGAACTAAGGCAACCAAGAGATAAGGAGATTTTCTCCCAGACGATGAGAACTCAGGCTATGTCAAAGCCAAGGAGCGAGGGTCCATCACCCCCTTTTGCTGCAGCCCCCCAAGTCCTTTTGGGGGGCCTCCCAAAGTGATCGTGCCTGTCTTAGGTCATTCCCCCCTTGGGGAATCTTACCCGTCTTTGGCTAACCGACCAAGCTTTTGGGTGTTCAGTTATGAATAAAGCAGCAGAAGCAGCATTCCTGCCAGGGAGATAAGCTTTTGTCTCCTTGCTGGCTTACAGTTCCAAGGGCGTTCCCTTAGCCTTAGCCTAGGCGGGGGTTTCAGCTTCTGATACCAGTCAGGGCGGTTCCCAACAATAACAAGGCAAAAGTCTCTATATGTCAGTACAAATGCATCCATCATAAAGTAGTCCTGACCACAGAGTACGTATTAACAACAACAGTACCTTTTGTTCCCAAATTTTCTATTCACAGTTGATTGAATCTCTGATACCTATGGATACAGAGGGCCAACTGTGTTTACTGTAATACCCATACTTTTTCTTTCTTTAGAAGAATAATTATCTTTTTGACACTTGTCAAAATGTTTGATTTTTCATCTTGCTCTGTCTTTAGTTGTTTCTGCCTCTTCGTTGGGTTCCTTATAGAATACACCTATGTGTGTAGATATGAATTACAGGAGTTGTTATAGTAGACAAATAAAAATGCCAAATACTGACACAAGCACACAGTGAGGCTAGACACGGAACGTTGTTGTGAGACCATGACCATCACTTATTTTCTCTGGGCCATGGTTCCATACTTTGTGAAATGAGACACCTGAACTAAGGACCTAACAAATTTTCTGGCTTTCAAATTCAAGTTCTACAAACTCAACTTACAACTTTTTCTTATATTCTTTTTATTATTATTGTTATTATTATTATGTTAAAGGAAAATGGAGTTTATTACCTAAGGTTACATAGGTTGAAGTTTTTTAATATATTTTATTGATTATGCTATTACAGTTGTCCCACTTTCCCCCCTTCATTCCCCTCCACCCAGCACACCCTCTCCCACCCACATTCCCCTTTACTTCATGTCCATGTGTCATAATTTCTTTAGCTTCTACATTTCCCATACTATTCTTGTCCTCCCCCTGTCTATTTTCAACCTACCATGTATGCTACTTATTCTCTATACCTTTTTCCCCTCTCTCCTCCTCCCACTCCCCTGTTGCTAACCCTCCATGTGATATCCATTTCTGTGGTTCTGTTCCTGTTCTAGTTGTTTGCTTAGTTTGTTTGTTTTTGTTTTAGGTGTGGTTGTTAATAATCGTGAGTTTGCTGTCATTTTACTATACACTTTTTTTATATCCTTTTTCTTAGATAAGTCCTTTTAACATTCCATATAATAAGAGCTTGGTGATGATGAACTCCTTTAACTTGACCTTATCTGAGAAGCACTTTATCTGTCCTTCCATTCTAAATGAAAGCTTTGCTGGATAGAGTAATCTGGGATGTAGGTCCTTGCCTTTCATGAGTTGGAATACTTCTTTTCAGCCCCTTCTTGCCTGCAAGGTTTCTTTTGAGAAATCAGCTGACAGTCTGATGGGAACTTCTTTGTAGGTAACTGTCTCCTTATCTCTTGCTGTTTCTAGGATTCTCTCCTTCATTTTAATCTTGGGCAATGTAATTATAATGTGCCTTGGTGTGTTCCTCCTTGAGTCCAACTTCTTTGGAACTCTCTGAGCTTCCTAGATTTCCTGGAAGTCTATTTCCTTTGCCAGATTGGGGAAGTTCTCCTTTATTATTTGTTCAAATAATTTTTCTACTTGTTGCTCTTCCTCTTCCCCTTCTGGTACCCCTATAATTCAGATGTTGGAATGTTTTAAGATGTCCTGGAGGTTCCTAAGCCTCTCTCATTGGTTTGAATTATTTCTTCATTCTTTTCTGTTTGGTTGGTTCTTTCTTCCTTCTAGTCCACTCCATTGATTTGAGTCCCAGTTTTTTTCCCATCACTAATGGTTCCCTGTGCATTTTCCTTCATTTTACTTAGTGTAGCCTTCATTTTTTCATCTAATTTGTGACCAAATTCAGCCAATTCTGTGAGCATCCTGATCACCAGTGCTTTGAACTGTGCATCTGATAGGTTGGGGGTCTCTTCATCGCTTAGTTGTATTTTTTCTGGAGCTCTCATCTGTTCTTCTGTTTGGGACAAAAAGTTTGGGACTTTTTGTTTGTTTGTTTTGATTAGTTTTTTGTTTTGTCTTGACGCACCTGTTACATATGCGGGGCAGAGCCTTAGGTATTCACCAGTGCATGGCAACCCAGTTGCTGGGTTGTGACATTGTATGTGGGTTTCAAGAGGGATCAATGGCGCTTGTTCCACTGTCTGCTGGATTTCAGTCCCTTCCGCCGCTTCCCCCAAGCAAACTGGGCCCTTTTGGTGCTGATTCCCATGTGGGTGGGCTTGTGTACATTCTAGAATCCTGTGGGTCTCTCCAACGAACTCTCCTGTGAGGCTGGGAGTCTCTCCCTGCACCTCAACCTCCACAGGTGTTTTCAATTGGTGTTTTCCATTGGTATTTTGAGGCTTTATTTCCCCGCACTGGGACCCTGGGTTGCACGGTCTGTCTCACTCCCCAGTTTCGTCTGGTTTATCTGCGTGCAAATGTGGCACCGCCTGGTCTGCCAGCTGCCTTTTGTGTCGCACCCCTCCACAATCCACCACCTCGCTGGGTCTGCCTGTTGCCACCCGGTGCCCAGGGTCTGCCAGCCACTGCCTGTGTGCCCAGGGTCTGTCAGCTGCTGCCTTGTATGCCCGGGGTCCACAAGCCACTGCTTGTTTTTGCCACAGCTCCTCTCCACCCGGCCATCTAACTCCACCCCTCCTACCAGTCTAGATGAATGTTTCTATTTCAACTCCTTGGTTGTCAGACTTCCATACCGTTTAATTTTCTGTCACTTCTGGTTGTTTTTTTTATTTCTAAATTCTTGTTGTTGTTATTTTGGTTGTGCAGGGAGGCACAGTGTGTCTACCTATGCCTCCGTCTTGGCCGGGACTCCTCTTACATTCTTTTTTATTCTTTTATTGGATCAAAAGTTTTCTCTGTTTTGTCCTTTGCTCAAACCAAAAAGTGTAATGGGGATGGATGTATGTGACTTCATTCTTGGAATAATCATCAGTACTAGTGTTTCATAACCTTTTTTCCTTATAACCTCTCATGAATTTTAATACCATAGATATAACGCATATCTATATGTATTATATGCAAATATGTGATTATACATAAAAAGAGTAAGATATGTTTTTGTCCTTCAAGAGCCTGCTTTTTGCCTCTATTGAGAATGCATATATTGTGTTATTGCAAGATTAGGAGGTGGGTACTAATGATATTTTGATAATCCCAACATTTCAAAAGATCTGAGAACTTTTTAATTCCTCCCAGGGTTATATAGTCAAAAATAGCTTTAATTTTAAATTTCAGTATTTTCAGAACCTTGACTTGAAGTTTTTTAGTTTATGGTTTATTTTTCATTATTTTACATTACATGCAAACTCTCTTGTACTTAATCAGGGATAAAAGAGATAAATGGAATTTTTGTCAAAGTACTTTATAATCTTTTAAAATGTTTTAGAATGTATTACTTATGACTGATCCAAAATTTTGAAACTCCTTGATCATACTAACAGAAGAGGAGCTAGAAGATAACTATTTAGCCACTGCATCACCTGTGTTTTACATATGTTAAGAAAATGTATTGTAAACAAGTGACAATAGGTGATTCCTTCCAGTAGACTTTTTATTTTTATTATTAACAAATCCTAAAACATTTACCCACAGACACTTTTCCTAGAGCTATTTGAGTTAATCCTGCATGTCCTAGAGCTCTTATTCACTTATGTTTTTATCTTTTCACAGTACTCTTATAATTAATGTTATCACTTCCCCAAAACTATTTTTATATGGTATTGGGATTGTAAAACATGGTGGTGTATCCCAGGCTATGGGATAATAGTTGTTCTTACTTAGAAAAGCCTCATTACTAATTAAATAGGTAAAACAAATTATCACCCATATCTGCTTAGTAACTCTTAATTCATGGCCATTTTTTCAGAGATCTTGCAGCTGCTATAGATCGAATGGACAAGTATAATTTTGATACAATGATTTATGTGGTAAGTAATCACAATAAAGAACAAAAGATTATGATTCCTACCTCATAAAAACCGCAAAGATAGAAATTGGATGCGATGTTGAAAAACTATGGAAAAGTAATTTTGTTGACTATAGAAAGAATTCAATACTAAGTGTGTTTAAGGTGGCAAAAAAAACCCCACATAAAAAGTAAAGAGTTCACATTGCTTCATAGTAAAAATAAAATTATTCAAATTAGGAAAATAGTTATGTGAAATGAACATGTACAGATCACTAAAATGCACTTAAAAATAACTTTCTATTTTAAATATTTTAAGATTTACAAGAAGTTTCTAAATATGGCAGAGTTTTCACATACCCTCCACCTAGCTTTCCCCAAAGATAATATCTTACATAACCATAATACTTTGTCCATACAGGAAGTTGATAGTGGAGGAGACCTTAGTTAAATTTTGCCAGTTTTTATATGCACTGGTATATGGGCCCATGTGTGTGTGTGTGTGTGAAATTTTATCACATATGTACAGTCACATAACCATCACCAAACTACATTCAGTATATAGAACTGTTCCATCACAAAACAAACTCCCTCATGGCAACCACTTAATAATCACACCTCCCCCACAAATTAACCCTTGGCAACCACTGCAGTTCTGTTCCCACCACTCCAATTGTGTCATCGTATGAGTATTATATAAAAAAAAATGGACTCATAGTATGTGACCCGTTGAGATTGGCTTTTTTAAAATCACATCGTGAATGCCCTTAAGATTGACCTAACCTCTTTAGTGTATCAGTGGTTTGTTCCGTTTGTTGCTGAGTAGTATTTTAGTCTCTTCTTCCCTTTCCTTCTCTTCCAAGTGCAACCCCCCTTTCCCCTAAGAAAAAAGTTGCCATTAAATATCTTTTTAGAACTTAGCTTTGTTCTTCTTTGAGATAAAGGTAATAATAGCTGAGAAAGGGAATTTAAATAGAATACTCAGAATATTAAAGTTCGAATGACCTCACTGTGGGGTACAACAGCTCTTCCTTCCTTCTCTTCTAGTGCACTCAGACCTTCTTCTAGTGGCATCCTCTGTGTGTGCTTATGTAAAATATAGTAATTGGCAATGACTGTAGTCTGTCAGAACACAGATATTTTAATTTGATTCATGTCCATCCCATTTCTATAGATTAACTTACCACTCTTCTTTTAAATACTTTTTTTCCCCAAAGACAGACAAAGGGCAAAAAAGGCATTTTCAGCAAGTGTTCCAACTGCTGCAGATCATGGGATATGACTGGGCAAAAAGGTAATGTCTGTGGTGCTTAATTACCTGCCTCAGGATCATGTTAGGTGCCAAGTCCCAAAATGTACCAAGTTGTTAAAGATTTTTCACTGAAATTTCTTCGTTTCAAGATGTTAGTGTGGAAAAGCAGATTTGCTTTTTTGTACTAATTTATGCCCTGGCTTTATTCATGCATAGCTTAAAACATTTAATAAACATTTTTATTAGATGTCTGCTCTTAGTGGCTTGATGGGGGTCAAAATTCTTAACCCCCATCTCCTTTTTTTCAAAAAGGTAACTGGGAATTTAATCACATGCTCATGATTACCTCTATAAAACGATGATGTGTGTTTACCATCTTCTGTGGCATACAGCAAACCACATCATGTTTTATCTATTAACTTTTAAAAATCCCACTATGAGAGGTGAAGTTCAGACTACTCTCTGAAATGGTATTATTCTATACTTTGATCACTAGCTCTTTTTCAGTTTTCTGTTAACTAAATGCCTGCTCTGTTTCAGGTGCCAACACGTGCCCTTTGGGGTAGTACAGGGAATGAAGACTCGAAGAGGCGATGTTACTTTTTTGGAAGATGTCTTAAATGAGATTCAGTTAAGGATGCTACAGAACATGGCTTCTGTTAAGAGTGAATTCACTTTTTTGTTGTTATGGTCATAATTTCTGTGCCACTTTTATATTTTGCTGGGCTTTGTGCAGTGTTATTTATTATGACCATTTCTCCATTAAACATTCACTAACCTTGTCAAAAATAGCTTGCACTAATTAGAGGTGCCAGAATTTTCAGACTTCCTGCTTAAGTATTGTTCAGTTCAATAGTCTGTATTGATATTACCCTGGGCCTCTCTTTTCATGGACAGCTTCAGATTATCATTCCATTGTAGGGAGTGGTTCTGTGAAGTTCCTGTGTTACATAATTCGAAACAAGTCACAAGTCCTATGGCTTTGTTTAACCTTCCCCTTGGAAAATTTATTAGAAAATTAAATTCGTGTATTTCTTCTTTTAATGAAAGGCAGGGGAATTATCATTTTCCAAGGTAAATTAGCCCACTGTGAACATGTCTGTCCTCGAGATTGCCAGCATCCATTTTTGGCAGATTTATCTCCACTTCAGTCCCTGACTCTGTATAGTTCCTGCAGGTTAAAGGCAGCCACTTTTATCTGTTTCAGCTACAAAAGAGCTTGAGAACCCACAGGAGACTGCAGAGAAGGTCGGGCTCGCAGCACTTATTATTCAGGTGTGTTAAGACTGCTTCCTATGAGACCCTTTAGTTTAGTAGTAGAACAAGTCCCAGCACTGAAGGTTTACTCTGTCATTTTAGGACTTCAGAGGTTTACTCTTATCTGACTATCAGTTCAGCTGGGATCGTGTTTTCCAGAGCCGTGGGGACACAGGTGTCTTCCTGCAGTACACACACGCCCGCCTCCACAGGTGAGAAGAGGCTGCAGGGAAACACTGGACCAGGGTGGGGTGTGGCTGCTGTGATCCTAAAGCCAAATTCTGGGCTTCTGTGATATCTCATATTCAAAACTAATAGAAGTACAGTGGACTGACTACCTCTTATGTTGGGTTTTGATGGAGTTTTTAAAATATTATTCAGAATCTACATAGGAAATGCTTTTATGCATATTACTTTATTTACTACTCACAATAATTTGACCATACTCCATTTTCAGATAAAGAAATAGATTTGGGGAAAATTGAGGCATCAGATTGAACAATGTTAGTTTCAAACACCAGGACTCTGGTCATTCCGCACTTAAGGACAGGGATACATTCTGAGAAATGTGTTCTTAGGTGATTTTGTGGTTGTGTAAACATCACTGAGTGCACTTAACAAACCTAGATGGTATAGTCTACTACATACCTAGGCTGTATGGTATAGAGCCTATTGCTCTTTAGGGGAGCGAAAGTAATTTTCTCTGTACCCTTCCTTCTGAGTTCATGACTGAGATATCCCTATACCAAAAGACAGATTAGCAGCAGCTGAACAAAAGTTTAATAACACTTGTACTTCCTATATACATGGAAGAGACTCAGAAAAACTGAGTTACTTGCCAAAATGCCTGAAGCCTCCACCTTAAATACCATCTACAGCTGAAGACAAAAGATGTTCAGGGTGGGAGGAATCAGTTATGGAGGTTGCCAGGAAAAGCACTTGTAAAGAAGGGTGAGATTGGTCGTGCAGATTGAAGTCCTGGTCTTCTGCGTTGGTAAGAGTTTCTACAAATGATGTCATCTCCATCTTCCTGGTACACAGGGAGACACCCTGACAAATGGAGATTTCTCTCACAGATGTCTTTTACAAAGGGTAACTTCTGCTTGGTTTTCAGAGCTTCTCCCATATCTGCTGTCTCTTAAAATTAACCAACCTAAATAATCTTTATGCCAAATATACATATTTTGGGGTGATAACTGTTTTCCTAGGGCTCCTAGGCTGTATAGCATGTTACTATACTCAATACTGTAAGCAGTTGTAACACGTGGTATTTGTGTAGTGTTTGTAACATTGACAGTATGCCATCACCAGGTGTTAGGAATTATAGGAATTTTTCAGCTCCATTATAATCTATGGGAGCATCACCCTAAAGACAGTCCATGGTTGACCAGCATGATGTGGCATGACTGTGTGCTAAGGAGAGCAAGACTGTACTATGAGATGGTGTTCATCACTTGCAGTTACGTGTCCTTGGGTGACTTGTTTAATCCTTTGTTGTTTTTATAACAGTTTGGAAGAGACTTTTGGGTGTGGTTATCTAGATGACTTCAACACTGCTTGTTTACAAGAGCCACAGTCTGTTTCAATTCTCCAGCATCTTCTCAGGTACGGTTTTCTAGTATTATTGAGTCAGCGTCTCCCTAGTGAAATTGTTACTGAACCCGGGTTCCTGTGCCCGGTATTTCAGAAGGCCAAAACTCAAAGCAGTATTTGGAGTTCATTGATTGAGGAGCCAACCAAGAAGGTGGGAGACCAAATAGTGCCTTCAATTCAACTTACACCTGGACTAGGTTAAGGAATTTTAAGCTGGAGAAGGGAAGAAGGTGAGTTAGGGTAAATTCTTGTGGTCTTTGGTCTCTTGATAAGGTCTCAAGGAATACCATAGACTCTAAGATGCTCTCAGAGGGCCACATGTGTAAGGGGTGGTATTGAGTTTCCATCATTCTGTGCACAGTAAGCTTGTTCATTATTGTCTTGTGGCCATTCCCTTCTCTGAAGCAGAAGTATTGAACTTAGATGTTATTTATGGAATATAGTTGTCCTGAAACTGTTGTTTGACCAGTGTGGCACAAATTAATCCAGAAACTGTCACAGTCTTGCTAAGCCCCACAGTTTAAACATTAAGCAACATATGGATACAAAGGGAATGGGTAGGTTGATATAGCTTTGTTAAGGGAAAAACAGAGGATCTAACTTGCAGAGCTGAGCTGAGGGCCTGGCTTATGGGGTACAGTTACAACAGTTATGACTATTGTTGGTTTGCTGACCACTGGAATGAACAGGCCAGTAGCTAGCTCCTACCTGTCCCTTGCCTGTCGCCAGCATTTCCCTAAAGGAGGCCAAGAATTGACTGTCTGCCTTTTGGGTGCAGAGGGCATGCTCATGGTCAATTGCTAAGTCTTAAAACTATTACCACTGAACTAGCCCAGGTGCCTACCATCCTCCAGGTGGTGGTATGAGAATGTGAACCCTGGTGAAAGAATAGCTGTTCAGTTTTTTAAAAGATCTTCTCACCCTCTCTGATAAGTGAAGGAAAATCTCTGCCTTTGTCAGCTTCCTTGAAACCGTCTTTCATTTGCCTCTTGGTTTCAATTCACAGTTTCAAATATACATCTGTCTGAGGCCCTCATACTGGGTAGACCTCCCCTTTGAGCTCTCTCTCACGTTGGTGGGGAAGTCAGACTTGTGACGAGATCTGTTTCTGGAAGAGATGTGGCTGGTTAACAAGGCAGTTTGCTCTGATTGCCACACAACGGCCAGTCGTTCTTTCCTGGGATCAGAAGGATTTAGTCTATTCACATCTGACTGATTTTGTGAGGAAAATAAGCCAGCTTAGTTTTCTTGTCATTGAGGGTAAACTGTTTGCCAGTTTCTAGATTATGTTCCTGAACGTCACTAAGTGACTTTTTACATTCAGTTCAACAGCCCTGATTTGAGTTCGTGCTCTGGGCTAAGCCTAAGGGATAAAAAGGTGATTTAGAAAGTACCTGCTATCAACAAACTTGTGAGAAAGAAAAATGTGCCTTTATTGTCAACTGTACCCAAGGTCTTTTTTCAAATACCCTCTAACCCTGCTGATGCCAAGTCAACCTCACGTCCTAGGTCTTTGTCTTAATAGGGTAGCTTAGGGTACTATGTGCAATCTTCCCCTGACAGCTGCTTCTGCCATCTATTTTTTCAGGTTTGATGAAGTGCTTTACAGATCATCTCAGGACCTTCAACCTAGGCACATTGTCAGTTACCTCCTAACTCTAAGGTAACTTTATAATCCTATTTTCAGATGTTAAAAGACATCTAAGACCTGATCTGACAAAGGACCTTTCTGTCATCAGAAGTTTTCCTGTAAACAAACCCTTAGGCCTAAAAAAATTATGTTCTTTAAGTTATAGGAATTCTTGCTTCCTCATTGCAAATTAGCAATTAATGTTTGTTTATTTATTCGCTCAGTGATAGGAGGTACAGTCACTACAGTAGAGGGAACAGGAAACAGCCCCATAGGTTACAGAAGCAGTGCCTATGTGTTAGGATAGAGTGGATCTAAGAAAAATGTTAGAGCACTCAGCCCCAACCTTGAGGGATCAGAGAGTGCTCTTTGGAGGAAGGGAATAGATATTAATCAGGAGAAGCAAGGTGGCAGAGAAGGAGGAAGACCAAAGTTGAGCAAGAACATGACATATGAAAAGAACTATAAGCATAGCCTTGGGAGAGATCAGAAATGCAGCATTTACATGTGTCTTTGCCATGTACTAAGGCATTTCCTCTTATTTTCAGGGCACCAGGATCCACAAAAAGATTTTAAGCAGAGGCACAGAAAAATGGGTCAGCTAGAAGGTAGAAATGAATTGGGGAGTCAGCAACACTTCAATAGAAATGTCATGGTGGTTATTTTAGAAATTTTGAGTAGAAGTTGATTCTATCTTCTATAGCAACAGCTATTTAAGAAATATTTGCTTTTACGCAAGATTTACTGAAATCAGATTTATTGGGACTGTTCTATTGATTATGCCTTTTTATCTTGTCTTCCCCAGATTTAAGTAGTTTTTTCCTTTAAATTCCACTTAAATATATAGAGATGAAGGAGCCCGAAAGTCTTATTAAATGTCACTTAGTAATTGAAACAGATGTTATAAGCATCATTTCTCTGGTACGTTGTTGTACTTGCTGCCATGCCTAAATAGAAAAGATGCAGCCCTGGCTGGCGTAGCTCAGTGGATTGAGTGCGGGCTGGGAACCAAAGTGTCCCAGGTTCAATTCCCAGCCAGGGTACATGCCTGGGTTGCAGGCCATAACCCCCAGCAACCGCACATTGATGTTTCTCTCTCTCTCTCTCTCTCTCTCTCTCTCTCTCTCTCTCTCTCTCTTTCCCCTCTCTCTCTCTCTCTCTTCCCCTCTCTCTCTCCCCCTCCCTTCCCTCTCTAAAAATAAATAAATAAAATCTTAAAAAATTAAAAAAAGAAAAGATGCTTTAAAGATGAGTGGCTGGGATTGAAAAAAAAAGTCCATGGAAAAAATAAAAACAAAAATGAGTAGCTGGGTAGCTCAATTGGTTAAGAATGTCATCCTGATCCGTCAGGGCACACATACAAGAATCAACCAATAATGAATGGCATAAATATGTGAAACAACAAATTGATGTCTCCTTCCCCCAAAATCAATTAATTAAAAAAATATATATGAGTGGCCAGTATGTGTGCACAGTGCAGTTAACTACTCTCTACCTCACCTCCTCACCTCTGTAGGAAAGCCAGGCCATATTAAAGGAAGCCTAAATGAGGGGAAAACTCATTAGAAAGGTCTCGTATACTTGTAAAACAAATAATGAAATCATAATCTTTAGAACTTGCCACCTGATAATAGCAGAACCAGGACCAAAATCTAAAATTTGAGTTTAATGTGAATTCTGGTCTCAACTTTCCAACCTTTAGTACATTTTAATGGCTCTATCTGGGCTTTGGGGTTTTTTTGTTGTTTTTAATCTTTAAATTGAGAAAGTAAGATTAGCTATCAGGCTTATACCACAGGAAATGGCTGCAGGTCCTAATCGCGACTTCCCTCTTCTCGTTTCAGTCATCTTGCAGCTGCAGCACACAAAACACTGCAAATAAAAAGCAGTCCTCCTGAAGTCGCTGGGGTATGTCACATTGACTGTGTTGTCTGTAATAACATCCTCAGATTAATATTATTGAGTCAGTCTTGAAAATCTTTCTAAAACAACATACTATTTTTCAACTATAGTAATGTACTTAATAGTCTAAGGTAATAATTAGAAGAATTAGGTCGTAACAATCGGTGTTTATGTACTTTCCAACATACAACACTATGAAACACATTTGTCTACATCAGGTATTACAGCGATGAGTTTCCCCTTATGTGAAGCTGTACTGTATGATGATACTGTCACTCTCACTCCCCAACCCTCAGCTACCAGTATTAAGACAAGGGATTCTAGGAATTTGTATTCCCTTGCCTACAGCAAGTGCTAGGGCACTTTGAGATATTATTTCTACTTTAAATTAGAAATTAGATTACTCTTAAAAACATTCTTATTTATTCAATTTGTGGTTAGCCAATAATGGAATTGAACATTTAATCATTCTTTGATTTATTTTGCAGGCCAGACTTCATCTTTTCAGAGCTGTGCGTTCTGTCCTGGCCAATGGAATGAAGCTTCTTGGAATAACACCTGTATGTAGGATGTAATTTCTAATTAAAATGGCTTTTTAAATACTAAACTAATTCTAGTTATCTATTCTTATATGCCTTGCTGATTAGAATTTTAAGCTGTTCTGTATCAGAATCTATGTATTAAGTCTATAAGTGATTTACCAACTTATTAAATCTTGGTCCTTAAAAAAAAATCATGAGTTCCCTCATGGTCAATAAGTACTAAATAAACATTTATAAAATTCAGTTAAATCTTTTAAATTCATTGTGGTCTAATGGGAATAAAGGGTCAGAGTTTAAACTCTACTTTTATGTTTCTTACACTGTCATACTTCAGAAATTATTCTTGTAACTGAGATTATATAATGTTGAAAAATTATCTCAAATTTCCTCTAAGTACAGCTAGTTCTGAAAATATTTAGGGAGACCAATATTAAGTCTTTTTGCCAATACAGCTGACACTTCCAGAGAACAGATCTTCTGCTTGTCTTTGATTTATACAGGTAACTCTTACTATGTGAGCTTGGGAACTGAATATATTTGAACAACAAGAAATTACTTGTTCAGTATTGTATTAGGGTCTTTTTGTAAAAATTAATTAAACCATACTTTGAAATGGAATTTCTCAAATCAATTCCTTCATGTGTCTGTCTGCATATTGGCAAAGTACATTTTGTGTGAATTGTGTAGGTCAATATAAGTAGGGTGTGATCTGTTTCATTGGTATGGCTGTCCTCACCTGCCAGCATTTTCATTCAGGTCTGCTGTGATTTATTTTCAGTGTTGCTACTAGAAGTCTTCTAAATACCAACAATCTATCTTGACAAACAGAGAAGAAAATTTGCATGGACCAAGCTTCTCTAGTTAAATGTTAGCAAGTATGGTATACCTTCTTAGTCCTAAAAGACTCATCCGTGCAGTTTCAATTTTAAGTGTGTTGGCTTCCAGAAGCTAATTTTCTACTTAAAGTATCACTAAGATTTAGTTAGCACAAACCAGCCATGGAATAAAGTATACAGTCAGGACATAATTTTCATGTTCAATATCCCATTCCATTTCTTTGAGGAAGAGTTCTCCTTCCCAGGTCAGTGTTAGTAGCTGCCTATATAGTTGAATCTTGAGTGAAATGACACAGGGGCAGTGTTGGTTAGAACCGAGTCTTTCCAAAAGCAGATCCTTGAGAAGACTGTTCACTAATCCCCACAGCTTGGAGCCCTAGAGCACTGACTACAGTCCTTATAAACTTTTTTTTTTTTTTGCTTAAGGCTAGGCAGAGTTGGTTCATTGCTATTATTTGCAACCAGAGAAACCTAACACAATTGCAACACAGAGAAATTTTAAATGTAATGTTTGGGGTTAAAAGTTTATGTTTTTATATTACCTTAACAGTCATATCTATAACAAAAAGTGATCATACAGATTTCATATAAAGTTTATTGCTGAATTTCCTCATTAACATTATAGAAATTTTTTTAAAAACACAGAAATTTCACAAATTATTGTAAGCCCCACAGCTAAACATACTTTATTAAAAAAGTACAAAAGTGACATTAGAAATATTTTTTGAAGAAAAGTATATCATCTAACAAAGAAATATGACTCCAGACAATGAATGGCACAAATACAGCACTTAACAGTGTACTCAGTCACCACCCAGAAACCACCATCTGAGTTATGAAATACTCAGTTTGAGAAGGTGCACACTTGATTGTTTCTCACTAGCTTGTCTTGTTTTTGCCTCTCCTATAAGAAAAGAACTAGGTCTTTACTGCTATTAGGGCAAAATACTGTACATAAATTGGAGAACAAGGAGGGGCCATCCTTCTCCTCTGGTACCTGAACAAGATAGCAGTTAGTACAGAAATGGCTTTGGCACTTTAACCTTTAACATTGTCCCAAACCTTATTATTTGACTATTATAGCCTCACATGATTTTTTAATACCATATCATCTCCATACTTTTTATATACATTATATATATACATATATATAATAAAAATTCCTTCATTCTAAAACAAAATGTGTTTACCCCAGACAGGTCACATTAAATCTTCTATAGCAATTCACTCACTTTCTTCTTAATTCTGATGCCACACAGTTAATTTTGATATATGTGTTTGTTTAAGCTACCTTCTGGGATTGATTTAAGGCTCTAGTTTAATGCAAATGGTTTAATCTTAGCAGGAATCTCTTTTGCAGCTGAAATCACACACCACTGATTCTCTCTTTGGAAGCTGTTTCTGCTTGTTGGATGGATGTAGTGTCTTGTCTGGGTAATCCATAGAAATATATAGAAACACACACGAGAAGAGTACCCAGAGCAAAGGTAAGAGCTGAAAGGAAAACAAAATGAGTTTTATCTGTATTTATGCCTGTAAAACTAATATAATAATGATTAATTTAAAATTTTGAAAACTTTTAATTAGTTTTACACCATTCCTTTATTTGCATTTATGACAAGAGTCAATTTTAAAATGAAACGTAAATATGGGAAATAAGTAAATCTAAATGTTCTGTTTCTATGATGGTAAGGTTTAGAAAGATAAGGGAGTGACAATCACTGATTGTACACTTTCCAAGAACACAAGTAGTATGCCTGTCCTTCCACCACTGACAAAGATCATACTAACTTCCCTATATGTTGATTAAACTAAAGAGAAGTGGAGTGTGGTTTCTCCATGATACTAGAAACCTGTGAAAATTTGGAGCAAAAAGTAGCTGACCAAAATTAAAAGAGTCAGGTGACCAATGACTGAAACCACTGAAGATTTCTAAAACACAGAGGAGGTGGTGATTTATTAAGTAAAATTCCATTCTGCTAGGTTTGTCTTTCTTATCGTCGTAATCTTACAACTTGTCCCAACTTGACCAGTAGTCACTTTATAAATTAATGCTTATGTTAAAACAGTATATTCCATTCAAAAGTGAACCACAGTATATATGGAGTACAATGGTACAGTCTTAACAGCTTTAAAAATGGCATGTAAAGAAATGCCATCATGCTATGACTTTAGTTCAACCCTAACCAGAAAAGACTAGCTTTACCTTCAAAAAAGCGTAAGGGGATAAAATAAATCTAAATAAGAAACTGGAAAATTGCTAAGACAGTCTAATTTCCTTGACCATCGTTAAGATAGAATATTTACCAAAAGCATCTTATACTGTTTCCAAATATTCTGTGGGGGCAATGTCATAATGCCAATGTCACAATGTTGAGCATAATGATGGACCAGAACTTCAGTTAGAAGTTGACCCAAATCAGGTACGAAAAATATCTAAAGGAGGCTCTGTAAATATCTGATACTTAAATGTTAAGTGGGCCTTATATAGAATACTATGTGCCAGGCACTGATCCAAGCACTTTACCTGAAACAACCCTACGAGATAGGTGATACTACCATTCCTATTTTATAGAAGAAACACTGAGACACAGGTTAGTAACTTCTCCAAGGTTTCATAGCTAATAAATGGCACGGGTGAAATTTGAACCATAGTATAAAATGGTTTTCTAAGATTTCTATGAGGTTGGTATTCCCTCTATTTGCATTTATAACAAGAGTCAATTTTAAAATGAAATATAAATATAGGCAGGTCTGTTTCTTTTTACTCAATGTTGATATTTGACAGATTTCCCTCACACATTAGTAAATAAAATTATTACAAAATAAAAGCACCCTGCAATGAAGTCAACACCACTGCCTTAATAAGGAGCCAACTTAATGCTGGATGTGGGATAGAGAAAATTACATTAGAAGGACTAGCATGGTGGTGGTGCGAGAATGCCTACAATGGTGAATTTTGTATTAATTACATATTAAATGAAATAAAGATAATCTTTATAAAGAGAAAGAAAATTTCTATTTGAATTGTAATTTCAAAACCAGTTTGCACCCAAGTCCAAAACAGCTAGGAAGGTGCAAACTAAAGGGGGAATGAAAGAATTTTTCTATTCTTCCCTCAGAATAAAATGTTTATTCTAATTCCACTGCTGAAAGTAATCATGTCCTAAAGTCCTTGTATTTATTTCTTTGTGTACCTCATCACAGTACATTCGTCCTAAAGCACTTCAATTGTCTTACATCAAATACCTGGAGGCTTTGACAGCAAAAAAGCTCTTTCTAGTAACTGAGCGGCCCCTCACTCCCACATAGAACCAGCACTCCTCAGCTTAAGCCCCAGGACTATTCTCAATAAACCTAAGTATTGCTGACCCACATTCCACACAACTAAGAACTGCTGTACTTAGAGAATAAATTATAACAAAACTAGGAATTTCTATAAACACTGTAACCAGTGCCACATCTAAAAGACAAATCAAGGACGTGAACAGCTTTTCCACGTTAAAAACTTAAAGATACAAACTGAGACATACTTATCTGTAATCCAAACAGCATCACGGAAGCAATGGTAGAAAGGATAATGGCTGCTGCTGCAGAAAAGCCTTTCATGATGTTGTCTGTGTACTTGACCACAACAGAAGTGTAGAGGCCTCCAACACTTGCAAGAACTTGTATACAGAAAGAAATAAAATCTTAACACTCAGATAAATGAAACAAACATTTTATGATGGTGATGCCGTTTTCATCCCCAGAGATACCATACTAATTTACCTGGGAAAATACTATTTTTCTTACAAGCAGCCATCTGAGTTTATATTAAAATTCAGTAATAGTTCCTATAAAATGTTTTTCAGATGCCCAAAGGACTGTGTAGTCTACTACTAAATTGTACACATTTACTACTAACACATTACCTTTGATTGTGTAGGCTGCATTGCTTTGGGACAGCTATGCCATGAAAGTCAATAAAATCAAAATTACATTTTCAGGCTGGTGTTCACAGTATAATGGAACAATTTCAAAATGCTATAATGGCTTAAAATGGACATCTAACTTTTTTTAAAAAAATAGTCTACCAAGAACCTTTAATTCCTGGATACTTACAGATGACAAACCAGACATAATATGTGTAACCATAGAAAAATCCTTTTTCTTTAATTTCAGCTCCGTCTGACAAGTAGACGCCAACTAATGTCACAACAATCCCTGATAGATACATTTGAATGTTTCTCACCCAAAGGGAAGTGTCTGAACTCTTTAAAACTTTTTCAAAGTACACTCCTGAAAGAAAATTAGACGTGCAAATATGAAATAGAAATATTAGAAATTAACTTAAAATGTCTTTCACTTAGAACAGTAACCTGGAGATATGATAATATAAAGTATATGATTTGTGGAACAAACATTTTACATTAAATATACATTATGTTGGCATGACATGCATACTAAACATTACCAATATGTATTAAGAACAGGTTCTGCCATTACTATAGCAATAAGATAGATCACAACAAAAGACTTTGGTCATCTGGAAGACTATATATACTATTAAGTGTTAATTATCTTAATCATACCCCTATAATATCTGCCTAGTATTGAATACTCCCAGCTTTGCAAATTAACTTATATAATCACCACTTGGGATTTTTTTCAGAGTAAGTAACACAACCAAAATAAAATTTAAATAGAACTTGCTGAGTATAGTCATTTTCCTTAAAGCAAGGCTCCCCAAGCCAAGTTCATACACAGTGTGAGAAGAACCAAGAACTCCCTAAGTAGGTA